GTCGACGCGATGCACCAAATCATCGGGCAAGTCGCGACCGCCGAAGCCGCGCATGCGAAAGCCGAACTGGGATCCGTGCGCGCAACGACTCTAGCGGCGATTGAAGACTTCTTCCAACGTGCGAGCCTGGCAGCGAGCCCCGACAACACCCCGACCGGGGCCGACCCATCAAGCACGACCGTCAACCGAGGGGAGGCCCCGGCTAGAGACGCCGGGGGGCTGCATCCAATTTTTTTCAACATGATGTCAAGCTCCAAGTCTCTCCTCGACTCCAAGATCCAAGACGCCGATCTGTCCTTCGCCCTGTCCCTCGCAACGAAGGCGCTCAAAGCCGAAGCCGCCGCCGCCAAGAAGGCCGCCGCCCAAGCCATGGAAGTCGACACGCCGACCGACGTTCTCGTCGGTGACTTGGTCAAACGCGAGATTGCCAAGTCCACGGCCGCGCTGCGCAAGGAAGTGAATCAACTCCGTGCGGCGATAAACGTCAAGGCGGGCCGTCAAGGGCAAGCGACCCCCGCCAAGAACAAGCCCAAGTCCAAGCCAACGGCCGCCGCTGGCGCAAAAGCCGCCGATCAACCGCGCGCCAAAAGCTCCAAGCCACCAAGGAACGCGAACGCCAAGCCACGCGACGCCGCGAACACAAAGTCCAAGGCCGCCAAGACCAAGAAACCTTCGAAGAAGCAGTAGCTAAGTTACATAGACTAGCTAATCAAGCTGCGTTTGACCCTGATGCCTCCATCAAATCGAACGCGCTCAACATGTTTGCATCTCGAATTGTCTCTGTCGTGGACCTCGAGCCCTACAATCTCGCCTACCACGACTTAACGCCTGCTGGGACCAAGATTCCGCTGACTCTCAAGCGACTTCTTGGTCTCGGACTAAAGTTCATCCCCACGCCCCCTCGACTAACTAACGAGAAAGTCCTGGATCATTTCCCGTATTTCGAACGAACCATTCGTCTACGGTGGCAATTTGATCGCGGAAAGAGGAGATATAAGGAAATTGACAAAAGTGCTGGAAATAGCATGCTCCGGAATTTCGGGCAGTCTAAAACAAAAAGCCCTTCATCATCCGAGGAGGTCTCGCTAGAGCCTCCGAGGAAAATATTCTGCCCAAACCCAACTTTTGTCCCTAATTTGGGCCATTCCGTCCTAGTAGAGGCTCCTCTACGAGCAATGCGAACTTCCATCACTCAGGCCTCGTTCCAAGTTAGGAAGAGACACTTTAACATGACTCAGGAACCCCGTCTCCTACTAAGAGTTATGTCACAGTCCTCTCACCTACACGTACTGTCTACCGACAAGAACCTTGGACCAGCTGTCATGACGCGCGAACAGTATATCCTATTCTGTTTGCGCCATCTCAAAGATGTCTCAGTTTATGAGAGATCGATGGCACCTGCTCAGGCCCTTACTAAACTCCTCAAAACCCTCATTAGGAAACTTTACCATACTCTTTTCCATGAGTACGGTCATGAACCTGATTGGGGTCACACGAAGATCATCACGTTTCAATTGGACAAAAAGACTCTGAATCGGTTCTATGCATTGGCTAAAATACACAAACCAACGCTTGAATTACGACCAATCGTCTCCAATTCTGGCTCGATCATGGAGGGACTTTCCAAGTGGCTCGATTACAAATTGCAGCCCTATCTCAAGGAAATCTCTCCGTACTTACGAGACTCCGATCAACTTATGGACGATCTATCCGATCTCAAACCGGATCCGGATGACGTTATGTTCACTTATGATGTTAGTGCTTTGTATACTTCAATCAATACAAATCATGCACTACAAATTATAAGTCTCGTACTCCACGAGGACCCATGGAAGAATGGGATTTTGAGAGGACTTGAACTCCTTTTGAAATCAAATTATTTCCTTTTTGGTGACACTATATGGCACCAAATTCAAGGAACTGCCATGGGAACACCAGTTGCGCCAACTTTTGCATCACTCTATCTCGGGTATATCGAAGAAAAAGTTCTTCTTCCCCAATTTACGACGATGTTTAAGTATTATAAACGATACATTGACGATGGATTCATTATCCTACGCAATGCAGCAGTGAATCAATTCACGATAAATCGTTTTCTGGCACACTTTCGTCGAGAGACAAAACTCAAGTTTACTTATGCTTCGGATGAAAATTCGATTGCATTTTTAGACTTGTGGATCAAGAAACTCCCCGATAAATACACTTTTAAAACACACCAAAAAGTTTTAAATTTGTATCTATACATTCCAGCCACCAGCGCTCACTCACCTGGTGTACTGAAAGGCTTGATCTTTGGACTTTTAAAGAAATTTCGTCGTCAAAACCCTGACGATTCCGACTTTTCACAATTTATTAAGAGTCTCTTTTGTCGACTGCAATATCGAGGTTACCGATATGATCTTTTGACTAAGCTTTTCAAACAAGCTCTGTCAAATATCAGAGTACCTCGTCCTCGACGTTCACAAATCTTCTTTAAAGTTCGTTATGACCCGAATGGACCAACGTCAAAGGAATTTAAGAAGATTTTGAGATTGGATAACTTCCAATCTGCGCTTAAAGAAGTCGGAATTGACCAAGTGTCACTCTGTTTCCTTAAAGCCAAAAATCT